GGGCGTGGTGGGCGTCAAAGGTCCTTTCCTTTGCGGCACCGCCGGGCCATCTTGGTCTCTTGTGTCCTGTACTAATAAAAGTGTGGGAAAGCAAGAGTATGCACCTTCTCCGAGATAAGTCCAAAAACGCCAAGATTTTAAAGGGGTGGTGGGCCGGGGTGGCGATGAGAGGGAGCGGCTGACAGGCTTCTTTGGCAGGGCGCTTACAGGCTTCTATCTGGGGGTAGAGGGTTGGAGAGCAATTTTTAAAGAACACCCACATAAGTCTTCAGAAGGATGGTATTCACACATCCCAAGCAGCAATAATGATTTTTATGCATGTCCCATTGTTTTAGAATATGTCATGCTGTATTACAGACTTCTACAGTAGAAGCATCAACTTTAAGTATCAATCATTTTGTGCTATAAGGTGCCTTTGGAGATGAAATTATTCTTGTGTGCATTCTCCCTAATGGTGGTTTATTTTGGGAAAGATCTCTGCATCCACTGAGTTAGTGGAAAAGATAACAGGTGTGTCTTTAGAACTTTGGGGCCAGCTAAATCACTGTCATCTTGATATTTTCACTGACTTTAATACTAAAAGAAACACACAGACTTTAAAGTCTAAAATGCAAAGAACTGACTTTAAAAGACTTGAAAAACAAAGAATGAGGAATAAGACATGAGCATAGGAACGTTAATCTTCCCCTCCTGGACCAAAGCATTCGAGAGTCTTCTGCTTTGCTGACAAACTGCGTGGCAGAGCTGGATAGTCTGCTGAGACCTAAATGTAGAATCCTGATGTCCCTTACACCCCAAAGAGTGGCGATGTAACTTCTTTGCTTTCCTCATTATAAATAATATTTTGAATACATTAATTTGGTTATGGGGCATGTAATGCCTTTATTTTTAAAGTATGGAAATGTGGAATTATCTCATTAATTTTCGCTTTGGTGTTGGCAAAATGATTATTGTATCCTCATAATCTGAATTACATGCAATTGCCAAATGAATTCATATTTAAATGCTAACACTATGTTTTAATTGGGAGAGGGAGGAAGGAGATTTCATATCTAGATAAAACAGCTAATTTTTCTTTAAAAAACAAGGAGTCTTTTCATTAGATAAGTGATGTTTTAGTCTCACCTCTTCACCTAGGTTACCCTCCTCTTTGCTCCCACAGTGTGCTTAGAGCAGCGATTTTCACCTGGTGTGCCCTGGCAGGCATGCTTGTGTGTCGCAAGAATTTTTAAAACATGCAATACCTGACCATTTAGTTAGGGGCACTGACCTCTCTTCCTTTAGATTGGCAAATTAAAGAAGAAGAAGAAGAAGAAGAAGAAGAAGAAGAAGAAGAAGAAGACAACATTACTCTTCTACAAATATTGCCCTGGTTTATGCACAAAGATGTCCATCATAGAATTGCTCACAGTATTTCATGTCTGGTGCCTTGGGCTACTACAGTGAGTTATGGAACAGCCATTTGATGGAATGTTATAAAGCCATTCAAATTAATACTGGCAAAGCAATTTTAAAACATGGGGAAAGCCTTATGTCATAATAGAAAGTGAATAAAGGAGACCTATGAATAGCATGCATTAAAACCTATCATTGTACTAGCAGAAAGAAAGAAAGGAAGAAAGAAAGAGAAAGAAAGAAAGACAACAGCCAACACAAGTCATCTGACATGAATGAATCAAAATTATACCTTTTTGGGGGGATGGATTGGCATACCAGAGAATTTTAGTAATTTGTTTACATGTCATAAGATGAAAAAGGTTGAAAATACCTGGCTTAGAGTAAGCAGGGCCCTTAAAACAGGGCAGGCTGCTGTATATGCTCATTGAATGAATTAATGCTTTGTTTACATGTCTGTCTCCCACTAAATTTCATGTCCTAGACGACAGGCACATTCTGTTATGAACAAATATGTCTAGCACATATGTACACACATTTGATTAATCTCAACAGCACTTTTAAATATGCAGATGTTAATATCTAATTAGCATATGTAAAGCTTTAATTTTTAAAATTTAGGCACTTTGGAAAAACAAATGTATGTTAACATCAAAATTTCTTTTAGGCATATGTAAAATATATTCTGATGATAATGGGATCTTCTGAATTTCCACAGCAGATTTTTAAAGAAAAACAGAACAGGATTTTTCGACTGGCTTTATACTGTCATCTTTTTGAGTCTCATTTTCATAGAGGAATGCAAAAATGATTTTTAAGTTACATATTATTAGCTTGTTACAAAAGAGCCAAAGTCTTCCAAACAAATCTCTTGTGGAAACATTTTTGTAAGTTGTTCAGATAATATGTTTCATTCTTAATCAAATGTATAGTTTGTGTCAAGTACATTGTATATCTGTATTTAAGGGCACCTGGCATTTTAAGCACTTTTTTAAAAAAAAAACCTGAAATATCCCTTTACAAAGTTTTCTTTCTCTCTACGTGTTAGAAGTATGTATGTGATCGTGGGTCATTCAATTAACTTTGTAAAAACAGAATTGTATTTTTTAAGATTGTATTTATTTTTTTAGAGAGGGGGAGGGAAGGGAGAAAGAGAAGGAGAGAAACATTGACCTGTGAGAGGAACACCGACTACTACACCCACTACTGGGAGCCGGGTCCCCAACCCAGGCACATGCTCCGACTAGGAAGCAAACCAGTGATCCGGTGACACTTAAGTTCACAGGCTGATGCTCAATTCATTGAGCCACACCAGTCAGGGCCAGAACTGTATTTTATTTTTAAGTTAGAAAGTTGACAAGTATGGGTCAGAAAATATAGATTGGCTTCCTTATCAGTAAAAATAATCTATTTATATTTGACTTGAAAAAAATTTACATGTATATTATGATCATTTTATGTTACATGTATTTATTTAATTTTAAAGACTTCTAAAAAAAAGAAAACTAGAATTAAGAAGCAAGGATCTAGCTTCTTTAATATGTCAATTTCATATGTAAAGTGGGAATCCTATATTGTGTTTCATGAGGAACAATACAATTTAATCCATACACATTGTTAATGACAGACTCTCAGGATCTAAAGTTAAAAAATAAATTAGGTACCATTTGAAATGAAGTTTTCAAACTTTGTAGCATTCCATAAATATAAGTAGACTTAGGTTTAGACCTTTTCATCACTGAGCTCTTATCTCAATACTTCTAAAGTAGAAAATACATCATAAAAGAAAGTATTAAAATAATTACTAAAAATGGCAGCTGTACTAGCTTTAGAGTTAGATTCTTTAAAGACTGAAACCAATTACAGAACCTTTTAGTTTTAAGGGGATTTTCCCCCCATCATGCAACAAGGAAAGTGTAAACAAAATTACGATGAAGGTTTAATTGCAATTTTAATTATTTGCTCAGTCTGTACCTCCCCCCCCATACACAAATGTTGAAAGGGAAACACACAGAAGGTTTAATTTTCAAGATGTATGTATTTATTTATTTATTTTAGAGATAGGGGAAAGGAGAAAGAGAGGGAGAGAAACATTGATGTGTGAGAGAAACATGGATCACTTGCTTCTCACATACTCCCAGCCAGGGACCTGGCCTGCAGCCCAAGCATGTGCCCTCACCAGGAATTGTACCAGCGACCTTTCAACCTTTTGGTTCTCACAGCCTAGGACTCAACCTCCTGAGCCACACCAGCCAGGGTGAAAGACTTTACTTTTAAAGGATCTGTTTCCTTAGGAAAATGTGGAGATCACTGTGAAACGGATGCCTTAGAGTTAAGAAAAGGGATTGTTAGCTCTCACTGGCATCTGACATGCAGAGCAACAGACAGACACTTGACTTACAGAACACGCTTGGTGCTCTCCCTGCTGGCGGGCCCCCTCCCCAGCTATTTGCGGCCACACGATGTCAGGACTTCGTCAGAGAGCTCAAGGTGGAATGAGATCGCCAAGAGCCAACTAAGTCTGTGTGGTTCCTTCTACTGAAGAGGAGTTATCCAGAGGTTTCCTGTGTTGGCACGACTCGGCAGCAGCGTGGCTGTCTACTCATCTGAAACCTGGTGCAATTGTAGTTTCTGATGGAGAAACATTTTAAGTTGACACCTGTGACTGAAACATTGGGTATACAGCTTTTAGAAAAGCTAGAAACTAGTAATAGACAAAGTACCTAATTTTTGTTGAAAGAGACTCTGTAAAGAGTTAAAGTTATATAAGCTAGGGAAGTCTGGTAAAAATCATTTGAGTTAAGACTTTCCAGGTAGAGATTTTCATTCTCTCCCTCTCTCTCTTTCTCCCCACCCCCACCCAGATTCAGCAACACATGAAGCCTAAAGTTAAGAGGCAAAAATGTTTAAAAATCACACAAAAGTGAGAAAACAGAAAAGCTAGTAGTGGTAGGAGAAAGTCGTGGAAGACAGGACATTTATCACATTGTTTCCTCGTCTGCTTTTCTCCTTGAACATTTAGGAGCGCTTACCAAATGCTTGCAATACAATATAATTAAGTGTGTGAACGTCATTGTTTTGACCCACCAGGAATTCTGAAAACCGAAATGTCGGGTATATAAAAGCTGGACTGCAGAGGAAAACGTTTGACGTTAAGGTGGCATTGACAACCATGTATCGATCAGATTATACAATGGCACCTGTGACGGTGTCTCCTCGTCTCCCCGCACTTGCACCGGGTTCTCCCTGGCGGGTGGGGTTCCTGGCCGGACGAGTCGCGCGCGCTGTCAGGCTGCTACGCGGGTCTCGGGTCGGTCTGTAAAGAACCTGTGCTCCCGGCGACGCGCTGCCGAGAGGGCTGGTGACACTCGCCGGCGCACGGCCGTCCGCAGCGGCTGGCGCGTTCGGCACGTCGGGGCGCCCCCGCAGGCGGAGCTCCCCCGGGGCGGGCCGTCCTCGCGGGCGCGGGGCCAGCGGCCGTGACATCACTCCCGGACTGGCCGTTGCATCGAAACGGCCGCGTTCCGGTTCCGGCCTGTTGACCGGGAGACGCGAGTACACAGAGGACCGGCGCCCGGCGCTGAGGAGCCTGTGGCGGGCGGAGAGCTGCGGCCGCGGGCGCCATGAGTCAGAAGCATGTGCTGCAAGGTAGGCGCTGGGGCGGGCGCCCCGACGGCTGGCGGCGGGGGCAGGGACGGCGGGGCGGCCCCTCCACCGCGTCTGTCCCCGCAGTGTTCGAGCAGTACCAGAAAGCCCGGACGCAGTTCGTGCAGACGGTGGCGGAGCTGGCGACCAGACCCAAAAACATCGAGACCCTGCAGAACGCCGGTGAGCCCTCACGGAACCCGCGCCGTCCCAGACCTGCGGGGCGCTGCCGCCCGGGCCTCGGCCTTGCTCGCCGCCTCGAGCCTGTAGTCGCCCCGAGTCCGCGGCCCTGCCTCGCCCGTGCCCCGTGTCCCCGGCCGGTCGCCGCCCGCTGTCCCCTGGCCTCTCCTTGCCCCGAGCCCCCGGTCCCCGCCCTCTCACCCCTCGCCTTCCCCCGGCCTCCTTCCCCACCGCGACCCCCGCCGGCCGAGGCTGGGGAGGAGAAGGGCGGGGAAGGGAGGACGGCGTCCCTAACCTCCCCCAGTTCTCCGCGAAGACGCATTCAGACTCTTGCGGGCCTTTGGGAGCGAGTCCGAGAGGAGGGCGCTTCCCGACGCGAGGGAGGGAGGCCCAGCGTCCCTATGTCCGTCTTGGGCGCCGTCAGACAAGTTTCAGGTTGAAAGTCAAAGCCAAAGAAATGGGCTGGACGTTATTTTTACATGAATGGCAATCTACCCTAATCAGACCCATTTTACCCGGGTGCCGGTGCGTGTCACCTTGCCTTTGGGTCACCTTCGACTTGTTCACACCAAAGGCTTCCCAGAGCGGCCGACGTATTGTTTTCCGTTTTGCGTTAGTGAACGAGCAATGATATTCTTGAATATTTTCCAGGAGATTCAAAGTCGGAAACGACCTAGCTTTGAGACATCCTTACGGTCTTCGCATTTCACCCTCAGCTCGAACTCATGAAGACTATAGAGAGATGAAGGGTGTGTGAGTGTGGGTGGGTGTGTTGTGCTTCTCTGGTAACAGGAAGAGAGAGTGGCCCAGGAGCTCTGCGCTCTCCCCCCATCTCCCTCTCTCTCTCATTAAACATGATTCTACCACCATCTGAACTGAAAGTAAGATGGCATTTTATTACTACATTGTCATAGGAAACCTTCAATTTATAGGATGATATTTAAAACATTTAAATTAACATGGAATTAAAAGAAAATGAAGAACCTATCAACAGGGCAAAAATGTTTAGATGTGATATTTACTCTGGGTTTTTTTTTTTTTTAGGGGAATTTCTACTGTACCTAGAATGAATGAATGAATGAATGAGTGAGTGAATGAATATATAGAGATATATAGATATAAAGATAGAGATAGATAATAGCTATAATATAAATATAGATATATAGTCACTGGGAGGGAGTTGGTGTTTGTTCCTTGTATGTTTTCATTTGGGGTCAGGAAATGTATTTACAATAGAGAAAATCTGTTTTATCATAATTTTTTAAAAACTTTTTTTTTAAATTTAGGGGTAATTATATATTCACATGTAGTTGGAAGATATAATACAAAATTCTATATACCTCAAAACTGTAGTATGATATCACAACCTGGATGTTGACATGGATAATTTATTGATTTAGTTCAGGTTTCCCCAGCTTTACTTGTACTTACTTGTGTCTGTATATGTGCTATACAGCTTTATCCTGTGTGTACCCATCACTACCATAGTCAAGATACAAACTTTCATCACCACCAGGATGCCTCCTTGTGTTGCCCTATTATAACCACACCCACCTCCCTCTTGTCCCTAACCCTGGGCAATCACTAATCTGTTTTCCATTTAAAAAATTTTGTCATTTCTATATTTGCTTTGCCACAATTTTCTCATATAACTGACACAAGTATGAAGGTGTAGACTTATTACAGATGAGAATTTTCTTCCTCTAATCTTTTCTTTGCGCACAGCAAGGTACGATAGGCGGCAATGGAATAAACCGAGGCAATGGTAGCACCCGAAAGACTTGTTGTATCCGAAAGACAGGCCAAGATGGAGTCAAAGTAGCTCTCCTGTATGTACAGAAGCAAACACAGGGAGGCTGCCAAATTGAGAAGACAAAGAAATAAGGTCCAAATGAAAGAAAGATCAAAACTCCAATAAAGAAGTAAGCAAAATGGAGATAGCCAACCTATCAATTGCAGTGTTCAAAACACTGGTGATAAGGATGCTTAGAGTTCTGGATGAGTTTGGCAAAAACATAAGGAAAGAAATGGAGGCTACACTAAGTATAACAGAAAAATCCACAGGAAACCAACAGTGAAGGGGAGGAAGTTGGGGTTCAAATCAATGATTTGGAACATAAGGAAGAAATAAACAGTCAACCAGTATGGAATGAAAAAATAAGAATTCAAAATATATGAAAAGAGAATAAGAAGATTCTGGGACATCTCCAAATGTGCCAACACCCAAATCACAGGGATGCCAGAAGGAGAAGAGGTAGAGCAAGAAATTGAAAGCTTATTTGAAAAAATAATGAAAGAAAACTTCCCTAATTTGGTGAAGGAAATAGACATACAAGTCCAGGTAGTACACAGAGTCCCAAACAAGTTGGACCCAAGGAGGACCACACCAAGACACATCATAATTAAATTGCTAAAGGTTAAAGAGAAAAGAGAGAATCTCAAAAGCAGCAAGAGAAAAGCAGATAGCTACCTAAAAGGAGCTATCTCCCAAAGACTATCAGCTGATTTCTCAAAAGAAACTTTGCAGGCAAGAAGGGGCTGGAAAGAAGTATTCAGAGCAGTGAAAAGCAAGGACCTACATCCAAGATTACTCTGTCCAGCAAAGCTATCATTTAGAATGGAAGGGCAGATAAAGTGCTTCCCAGACAAGGTAAAACTAAGGGAGTTCATCATTACCAAGCCATTATTATATAAAAGGGACTTATTTAAGAAAAAGATCAAAACTATGAATGGTAAAATGACAACAAACTCACAACTATCAACAAGTGAATCTAAAATAAAACCAAAAACTAAAAACTAAAACAAGCTAAGCAACAACTAGAACAGGAACAGAATCATGGAAATGGAGATCACGTGGAGGGTTATTGGTGAGGAGGGGAAAGGGGAAGAATGGGGGAAAAAGAACAGGGATTAAGAAGTATAATTGGTAGGTACAAAATAGACAGGGGGATGTTAAGAATAGTATAGGAAATGGAGAAGCCAAGAAACTCATATGCAGGACCCATGGACACCAACTAAGGGGGTGGTATTCCTGGAAGGAATGGGGTTACCGGGTAGAGACGGGCAAAGGGGAAAAACGGGACAGCTTGTAATAGCACAATCAATTATATATACTTAAGAATGATTTAACAACAACAAATAGACTTGTTCAGGGTATTGAGCAGAAGTCTTTCCTACAGTCATGTGAGAGAACACATGACTGTCTGCAGAGCTGATTGGGAGGCAGCTGATGCTTGAGCTGTTGACAACAGCCCAGCTTTTGATGTTTCTTCTCTTGCAAAAACAAAACAAGAAAGGAGGAAGAAAGGAAGGAAGGAAAGAAGGAAGAAAAGAAAGGAGAAAGGAGGGAAGGGAAATAAAAGAATTTAGAACTAATTATCTAAAAGTAAATATTTTGTTATTTCGAAGTCAATAATCTTTTGTGATGCAGTTTCATGTGGATACTTTCTTCTGTATGTGTGTGTGCTTTTATGCATGCGTATATTCCTCAGAGTACTCAGTGCTGGTCACACAATGTTTCATACATACTAACTAATTAAAGCTTATTAGAGCATATTACATTTTTAAAATGCTTATTTTTTAGTTTTCCCCCACCTAGTCCTACTCAATGGCTTTTGTGAATGGACATTTGCAATTTATAAATATTTAGTTTTTGGACAATATACACATAAACTAAAACATTTTTTTAAAGAGGAAAATGGTTGACATATTAAATATTTGATACTGAAAAATAGAAGTAGATAACATTTAAGATACAGAATAACATATTAGTATAATAGCAGCAGGGTTTTTTTTTCTATAAGTGTACAATATAGAATATATTATGGAATTTAATCAGTTCAAACTGTTAGATTAAGTAATCACCAAAGTATAAGTGACTTAAATATGATATTTTAAATAGCCACCTATACTTCTGGTCAAGATGGTGGCGTAGGCAGATATGGCTCGCCTGTTCACACAACCACATCAAAATTACAACTAAAATATAGAAAGACGATCGCTCAGAACTGTCAGAAATTGAGTTGAATGCAGTCTGACAATTACAGAATTAAAGAAACCACATCTATCCAGACATGTAGGAGGGGTGCAGAGGCAGAATGGGCTGGTCCCTCACACATGTGTGGTGGATGAAAATTTGGGAGGGATATCTTGGGATGGAGGAGTCCCAGCCCCACACCAGACCCCCAAGCCCAGGATTCCAGGGCCAGGAAGATAAGTCCCCACAAATTCTGGCTGCAAAAACCAGCTGGGATTGAGTCCAAGGAAGAAACTTCTGGAGCCCCAAGCAGTTCCGCTTAAAGAACCCACACATGGACTCACCTATTCACACTCACTCCCTCTGAGCTCCAGCACCAGGGTAGCAGTTTGAAAGGCATCAGTGGCGCAGAGGGAGAAACTGAGGTATCTGGCATCAAGGCGAGTAGAGGCCATTGTCCCTTTTCTAAACCTTCCCTGCACAGAGCCAACAAGCTGGTGCCATATCTGAGACTCCATCAACCTAGTTAACACTGTTTGACCTGCCTTGGAGATCCCCAGAGATTCTACCCCACCCAACTTGCCCACCCAAGTTGCTTTTCCATATGAATGGCTCATGTTTCACAACCTCCTAAATCCAAACAAACAAGCAGCAGCTGGCCTCAGGGAGCCCCTGGCATAACACTGATTCACAGCTTGGTTTAGGAATCTACAAGCTCAGCACAAGTAGCAGCCATCTCAGATTGCTGTATAGCTGAGGAAGGGTGGCCCTGGGGCAAAACACAGATGGGAGCTGACCTTGGCCTGTATTACCTGGGAAATCCCCAGGCCAGCACACCCAGTGGACAGCTACAGGCCGTGTCACACCATCCACCATCCAGAGTGGAGAGCACCACCACTCTGCCCCTGCACTGCTGGTCCTCCACAGAAGGCAGAGGCTGGTGGCCAGTGGTCACAGCCAATCCTTGGAGCTGACTGGCCTGGGTAAGTCCCTCCCAATGTTCTGCCAACAGTAACCAAAGGTCACC